ATCTATTTGCTGTTTTGAAATGTGCAACACAAACGGCCTCTCACTGCACAGAGGGACGTTTCATCCTGTTTTGAGATGATAAATACCATGGTCCATTCTAAACCTCACCCCAGGCTGAGGGAGAACCTAGGAGGACTTTGTAGTCCCTGGTTTATTCCAGAAGAGGCATTGCCTTCTGGGTCAAAAGCTACAGTCAGATGTGGCAGAGGAGTGTGTGTGTGTGCCTTTCTCCTAACCTGCCCGTGCAAAAGGTGTTCCTGAGTGTGCTCCTGCGTGTATATGGAGCAAACACTTTCTGCTGTGCCATCAGCCTGCCCTGGGCAATGCCAGAAGCCAGGGGAAGATCCAAGGGAGCAGCTGCCAGCCCACCATGTCTCTGCGGTGCTCTGGTGTGCGACTTGCAGTTTTAGCGTGATCTCAGCTGATGCTTTTTCTTAAAGGCTCCATTTTGCCACTGGAGGTAATTAATAATCCATACCTCAGCTGTTGTTAAGGATGAGGAAGTTCTCTGTTATTGCTGAGATTCCCCAAAAAATAATTTACAGAATCACAGGGTGATTGAGGATTGCAGGCACCTCTGGTGAACATCTGGTCCAACCCCCTGCTCCATAAGGGCTTCCCAGAGCCAGCTGCCCAGCACCACGTCCAGGCAGCTTTTGAGTATCTCCACAGATGGAGATTCCACCACTGTGCCAGTGCTCAGTCACCCTGACAGTGGAAAAGTGTTTCCTGATGTTCAAAGGGACCCTCCTGTGTGTCGGTGTGTGCCCGTGGCGTCTGGTCCTGTCCCTGGGCACCACTGGGAACAACCTGGCTCCATCCTCCCGGTACCCCCTCTGCAGGTATTGATGGGATCTCCAGACCTGCTCTGCCCCAGGCTGACCAGCCCCAGTGCCCTCAGGCTCTCAGGTCACAGCGTTGTGCCAAGGGACATGTGCCGGTGCCTTTTTCCTGCTGTGACAGGGCAGATCGTAGCTGTGACTGTGCTTCTTTACAGAGATGCTTGTTCTCTTCTCCCCTTTTCCTCAGACACTGCTCCTGACTGGAGATATTTCACAGCAGGTTGGGCTTCCAGGGGTTTTTCTGCCAGGGTTTTGAAAACTATGAGCTGCAAACAATGTCTCCAAGCCGGAGGAGTGAGAATCAGGGGTGGCATGAAGCTCTGCAGCCCAGATGTCGTGTCATGCCCACGCCTGTCCCACCAGCAAGGCTCCAGAGTGTTGTGGTGGTCCAGAGCAGTGCTCTGGGGCTTGGGACTGTTTGTGCAGGGGTTATCTCCAAAATCCTGAGTTAAAAGTCAAACAATGTGTGCTCTGGTTGATGTGAGCAGTGTTGGTGGTAAATTGTTGTCTAACACCATGGAAGCCCTTTACAAGAGTTGGGAGATCCTGGGAGTCACTGGGTATCAGCTGCGGCAATGGTGTGCTTGCAAGTTCACCCCAACAGTGTTCTTGCTGCTCGTGTGTGGCCTTGGAATACCTTTGGGCCTGTCTCCTACTATGGATCTTAAAAGGAGAGAAACGTGGCTTGTGATGTCTCTAGGCTTAAGGTTTTGTGGTGTCCAGGACCTCAGAGTCTTTGCTGCCCTGTGGGATGGAGCAGGACATGTGCTGGATGGACAAATCCTGCAAACAACTTCTCCAGAGTTTCCTTCTTGGTGGAAACCCTTCCCCAACACCTTGCCCCAGAAGGAGGTTGCTCTGGCCAGAGGTGCCAGGGGAAGCAGGGACACATCTGCCAAGGGGCAGATGAGAGGAACAGGGCCATGGCCCGGGTGGGTCCTCTGCCTCCCTCAAGCTCCTGGGAGGGCTCCTGACCTTCTGAGCTGGGCTCCCCAGCTGTGGTGTGGTGAGGGGACATATCCTCTGATGCAGTAGGGCCTTTTCCAGGAGGGAGAGATTGTCTGGAGGTTAAGTCCTAAATCTCAGTTATTTAGTTCTTCCAGTTTAAGGAATAGCACCCCAATCTATAATCCAAGTTCATTCTATTCACCCTAAACTCATAAGGTAGAGGAGAACCAGTCTCAACAGCATCGACAGGCACCTCCACAAGGCTTTGGAGAGTGTTTGACCCGTGATAATGGCTGCTGGTTATTTCCTGTGCAATTATTTGCTATTGTGTTCATGTCATAGACTGCTGTACAGAGATGAGATTGAGCATCACCCAGCTTCGCCACTGGATCTTATTTCTCTTCCTTTCTAGGCACTTCCACTCCCAAGTTCTGTTTAAATAATAAAAAGCCATCTGCTCACACAAAACGAGGAGTTGTCCTTGAAACAGTTGATCCAAGTGAGGAATCAAGGATAAATATCAGACTAAGTGCCTAAGAAGGCAGATAGGTTCCTAGGTGGTATTAGGAAGCACCAAGACAGGTTGGCTGTCCAATTTGTGTTAGCTTTCAGTTGGAGTCCGGTGTTCAGCTGAGTTACTCGGTTCCTTCAGTTCTCCTGACACTTAACAATGCTTCTCTGCTGTTGCACCTGGAGGGCCTTAAAGGTCGGTACCATGATGTCATCTGATCACAAACCTGGCAGCACTGGAAGAGAGAAGAAGCAGTAGACCTTCCACTAAAGTGAGCCCACCATCCCGCTCTTTACCCGCTGGTAGTAATACCTTGATCTTAACGTCTCAGGTTTTATAATTCTCTTTGTAGCCAAGTTCTTATTTAACTGTATTTCACTGAAATCATCATCCTGTTTTGCACATCTGTCCTTTCTTTCAAATTCAGGTTGCATCTAAAGCAACCACGTCATGAGTGTGGTCCCCTGCTTAGCCCCATAGCAGCCCTGCCTCCATCCTGGCAGCAAGTGATTGAAGAGGGTGTAGGGAACAGGGCAGGTCCAAAATCCTCCCCCAGGCCAGTGTCCTTAGACTCCACCAGCCTCTGGGACACTTGAGCCATCATTTTCAGTAGGCATGGAGAGATCTGCCTTCCCTGAGCGCATCCGATGATACTGAATCATAGAATCATAGAACAGTTTGGGTTGGAAGGGACCTTAAAGCCCATCCAATGCCACCCCCTGCCCTGGGCAGGGACACCTCCCACCACACCAGGTTGCCCAAAGCCCTGTCCAACCTGGCCTGAAGCCCTGCAGGGATGGGGCAGCCTGGGCCAGGGTCTCACTACCCTCAGAGTAAAAACCTGCTGGTTTTCTGCTCAGCTCTGTGTGTCCATTGCATTTTTCACTAGGGCAGGAGCAGCACCGAGAGCCCTCCCTCGCCAAGGCACCCTGAGCACTGGGAGGTGACTCTGTTTGTCCCTCCAGCTTGCAGGCAGGCCCTGGTCTGGGGACATGCTGGTGCAGGCATCATCCTGCCTGCTGGGGCACGGCAGGGGCCAGCTGCTGCCCGAGGTTGAGGAAGGCAGCTGGCAGGACCACTGTGGCCAGGACCAGCTAGGAGCTCAGATCACCAGACAAGGTCTGAGATCAAGCCAGGACACCAGTCGGCCTGTCAGGTCCTGCTGCTGCCAGACAGCAGCTGGAGACCAGTACTGCTGCAGCGTGGCATAGACAGGCTGAGGGTGGGCTGACGTGGATTCCATGGGTAGGGGTCACAGGGATGGCTGGTCAGGACCAGTAAGGCCCAGTAATACCCTCGGGGCCCTGACGCTTTGCCTACTCCTTGAAATTCATGGCTGAATCTGATTTGGTCAATCTGATAGCCTTCTATGATGCCATAACCGGTTGGTTGGATGAGGGGAGGGCAGCAGATGTCATCTACCTTGACTTCAGCAAGGCTTTTGACACTGTCTCCCATAACATCCTCATTGGGAAACTGAGGCAGTATGGGCTGGAAGAGGGGACAGTGAGGTGGATTGAGAACTGGCTGTGCGACAGGACTCAAAGGGTAATTATTAATGGAGCAGGTTCAAGTTGGAAGCCTGTAACCAGTGGAGTCCCTCAGGGGTCAATACTTGGACCCGTGCTGTTTAATATATTCATCAGTGACCTGGACGAGGGGACAGAGTGTATCCTCAGCAAGTTTGCTGATGATACCAAACTGGGAGGGGTGGCTGACACCCCGGAGGGCTGTGCTGCCATCCAGAGTGACCTGGACAGGCTAGAGGGCTGGGCAAAGAAGAACCTCATGAGGTTCAACAGGGAAAAGTGTAGGGTCCTGCACCTGGGGAAGAAAAATGTCAGGTACCAGTATAGGTTAGGGGTGGACCCGCTAGAGGCAACTACTGAAGAGAAAGATCTAGGGGTCCTGGTGGACAGTAAAATGACAATGAGTAAACAGTGTGCTCTTGCGGCCAGGAAGGCCAATGGTATCTTGGGTTGTATAGGGAAGAGTGTAGCCAGCAGGTCAAGGGAAGTCATTCTCCCCCTCTACTCTGCACTGGTGAGGCCACAACTGGAGTACTGTGTCCAGTTCTGGGCTCCCCAGTTCAAGAGGGACAGGGAACTACTAGAAAGAGTCCAGCGTAGGGCTACAAAGATGATTCAAGGATTGGAGCATCTCCCTTATGAGGAGAGACTGAGAGAGCTGGGACTCTTTAGTCTGGAGAAGAGAAGGCTGAGGGGAGACCTTATCAACGCCTACAAGTATCTCAAGGGAGGGTTGAAGGAGGAGGGAGCCAGACTCTTTTCAGTGGTTCCCACCGAGAGGACGAGGGGCAACGGGCACAAGTTGGAACATAAGAGGTTCCACTCAAATATGAGGAGAAACTTCTTCACGGTGAGGGTGACGGAACCCTGGAACAGGCTGCCCAGGGAGGTTGTGGAGTCCCCTTCTTTGGAGATTTTCAAAACCCGCCTGGATGCAGTCCTGAGTAACATGCTCTAGCTCTAGGCAATCCTGCTTCAGCAGGGGAGTTGGACTAGATGATCTCTATGGTCCCTTCCAACTCTAGAAATTCAGTGAAATTCAGTGAAATTCAGTGAATGGGTTGAACGTCACCAGTCCCATGAGAAACTCAGCTGCATGCAGTGGACTTCATGTTCCCCACCACTACCATCCTGGTTAACTCCTGTCACTTGTGAAATTCTCTTTTACAGCCACTTAGAAGATCAAAGGTGACTTCAGGGACCTCTGTCTTCTCTAGGGCAGGATTTGCCAGCCCTCAGTCACAGCCTGTGTCAGAGTGGTGTATCCCCCAGTGGGAGTCAGGAGCAGCCATAGCTTGTGGTGGACCTGCTGTGCTCGGACCACCTTATGGTGGTGCCAGGTAAGAAAAAACCCTTGGTGTTTGCAGACTCTTGAGCTGGGATCTCACAACAGGGGCTTTACCAGGTCATGTTGGTACCAGCCATGACCTTCATTCTCTTCTCTGTTGGGTTCAATGGGCCTTTAACGCATCTTTACAGGGGTTTCATCTGGGAGATGGTGGAAAGGGAGGGACCATCCTCCACAGTCTCTTTCTCACTCCTTTTCGTGTTCGTACTTGTACCCAACTTGGTCTTTTTGTTCTTGTCTTCCAGTGTCTCGCTCTGTGTCCAGGCAAGGTGATGGACAGCAGAGCAGAGATGGAGGTTGTGAGAAGCACAAAAGGGAATGCTGCTGGGGAGGTCAGCGTCCACGTGGTCACCACCGAGAGCACTGTGCAGAGCACCCACCTGCCAACGACTGCCTTCATCATACCAGGTATGTGGGACTGTCCTTCCTCCCACACCGATACCTCACACTCCTTGGATGTGCGTGCTCCTCCTGAACCTTGGGAGGCAAAGCTGTGCTGCTCTTGCCATCTTAGAGGCTCTTTCTGGCTATCCTACATCACTTGGACCATTTCTGGCCAATGAAAATCTCCTGAGTTCTAAAACAAAGCCCTAGTGTCTGGCACCCTGTGCCACTGCAGCACAGTGGGTGCCTGCTCTGTGGGGCACATGGGCTCCTGGGTTGCTGCACTATCATAGAACCATAGAATCTCTCCAGTTGGAAGGGACCCAAAGGATCATCGAGCCCAACTTCCTGCTCCTTGCAGGACTGCCTCAAACTGAACCTGACCAAAGCTAAAACTAAACTAAGAGTGTCATCCAGACGCTCCCTGAACTGTGACAGACTTGGTGCCGCTCCCTGGGGAGCCTGTTCCAGGGACCAACCACACTCTCAGAGAAGAACCTTCTCCTCATGTCCAACCTGAGCTTCCCCTGAGGCAGCCTCATTCCATTCTCTTGTGTCCCATCGCTGGTCACCAGAGAGAGGAGATGGTGCCTCTCCTCCACTGCCCCCCATGAGGAAGGTGCAGGTGCCATGAGGGCACCCCCTGGCCTTCTCTTCTCCAGGGTGAATGAGCCCAGTGACCTCAGCCACTGCTCCTCAGCCATGTCCTTGAGACCCCGCACCGTGCCAGTTGTCCTCCTCTGGACATGCTTGGAGCTGGAGCTGCCAGGGCTCACTGCTGGCTCCTGCTTAACTTCCATCAACCCAAACTCCAGAGCAATTTCCACGGGGCTGCTCTTCAGTCTTTTCTGCCTCCAATTTGTATGAATAATCATGATTACCCCATCCCAGGTGTAGAATCCATCACTTGCTCTGGTTAAATTCCATGCATCTGGTGGTTGCCCAGCTCTCTTGTCTATCCAGATCTCTCTGTAAGGCTCCTCTTGTGAGGAGCCACAGCTCCTCCTAGTTTACTATCATCAGCAAACTCAATGGACACTCAGCTCCTGTGTCCAGATCATTTATAAAAACATTAAAAAAATAGTGGCCCTAAAATTGTGCTGCTGGTGACTGGCTGCCAGCCTGATGTGACCCCGTTTACTGGAAATCTTTGAGCCCAGCCCATCAGCCAATTGTTCACCCATCGCACTGTGGACCTGTCTAGTGGTGTGCTGGACATTACTAAAATCAGAAAAAGCCACATTTACTGGCTTCCTTTGGGCAACTTGATGGGTGACCTTTTGATAAAAGGAAATTAATTTCTTTAAGCAGGACTTTCCCCTCATGAACCTGTGGGGTTGGCTGTGACCAGTGACTGCATTGTCTCTCAAGTGTTTTTCAGTAAATCCCAGAATAACTTTGTTCATAATTTTACCAGGCACTGAAGTGGGACTGACAGGCCTATAATTACCAGGGTCGTCCTTCTTACAATTCTTTAAAATTGGGAGAACAATTTCCAGCCTAGCTGAGCAGTGCCTTTCAGGAGGTGTGTGAGCAAAGTGTGGATGTGTGTTAGATGAGATCAGGGGTGTTCTTTAGCAGAAAATCTCCCAATTTTTCCTGCTCTGGCTGTCTTAGTTCCCACTGAGGAGAGGCCCTGAGCTGCACAGTGTGTTCCTTTGAAACAAAACTGTACTGGAAGATGTGGTCCAGGAGCTTGCCAGCACAATTCTGCCGCATCAGGGTGTCCTGGTCATGGGAACACTGAGGTTTGGCTGAAGTAGGAACCCTTGAATGTGGATATTGTTGGTGCCACCCCCCAGCACAAGCCATTGCTGGCTGCAGGTCTCGTTGGGTCAGGTTGCCCACTTGTGGGTGCTTTCTCCCACAGCACTGAGCCCTCGGCTGGGAGACTATGTCCTCTCTGAGTTGTCTTTGAGCCTCATCTGCATTGTTTAAATGTTCCATGTTTGCCTCTCGTTGTTTGTTTCCTTTCTTCCCTTCTCAAGCAAATGCCACTACCATCAACCTTCCCACGAGCACCTTAGAGATTCAGCGATTCCCCCGGGAGGCACAGAGAAGCACAGGGGCCGAGAGGCCAGAAAGGGGAGCAGGGAGCGAGCCCATCACAGCCACTGTCATCCCCCAGATCAGCGGGGTGCAGGCCTGCAGCACCGTTCGTGTGCTGGAGTGGAAGGATGGGGTGGCTACTTTGCCTGGGAGTAACCTGCGGGTAAGTGTAGCCCTGGGCCACCGTGTTTGCCCCCACCTTGCCACTCTCCGAAACCACTTGCAAGGGCAGTCCCTCAGCTGGTGCCAGGCAGGGACCACCAGGATGTGATGTGGCCCCTGGCAGTACCCACACCCCAGCTGGAGGATCTCTTGGCTATTCTGGCTCTGTGAGGGTCTCCTGCCCCATCCCTGTGTCCCCCCCAGCTTGTGAGCTTAGCAGAGAGAGCACACACATGGTGCCTGCGGGGCGGCAGCAGGTCTGTCCTGCACAGAGAGGCAGAGGGATGCTATGTCCTGTTCAGGGCATCTTTCCTTTCCAAGCTGTGCCACAGAGTTGGCTCTCACCAAACTCCTGCACTCACCCTGGAACTGGTGGCTTTGTGCTTATCAGACAGCAGGTGCCCTTAGCTGTGCCCCTCGGTACATGAAATAGCTTGTACAAAATGTACCAATTTCTCAGGTGCTCCTCATCCTCAGGGCACCACGTCCCCCAGCATCACCCTGCCCCCCTGCTGGTCTCACCCCGCTGCTGGCAGTGGGCTGGCTCAGTGGCCACCACAGACTGCAGGGAGGGCAGCAGCACAGGTGACATTGATGCAGTGCTCACCTCTGTCATCAAAAGAGCTGTCCTCTTGTTGGATGCACTAATGGCCAAACCGGGTCCCTCTCATTCTCAGAGCTCACATGTACCCCCTAGCTACGAATTTACATTTCTATCCCTCTTGTTAACTGTTTTTCCTTGTTCTTTGGTTCAATGATGTAGTTCCGAATAAATGAGTACGGGACACTGAAGGTGGTGAGTGCTGATAAGCTGCCTCCAGTGGAAGCTGTCAAGGAGGGTCACACAGAGAAAGATGGGGACTCGGAGGTGGCACCCACCAGCAGGGACAACCCTACTGCGGCTCAGGGTAAGGGCACCATGATGGCACTTTTGGGGTGGGTACCATCATCCAGCAGGCGCTGAATGAGGCAAATGTCTCCTGGTTCCTGCTCTTCTTCCTTTGCTGCACCTTGTGCCTCACTGCTCCTCTTCTCTCTGACTCAGACGGGCCAGAGCAGACCAAGCTGCCAGCAGCAGAAAGTATGTGCTACTGTGATACCTGTGGTCGGAGACATGAGTCGGATGGAGCCCGGGAAGGCAGGGGCTTCTGCAGCGAGCACTGTCACCAGCAGTTCAAAGAAAGGTAAAGGACAGGGAGTCTGCTCCACACAGAGCCGTGTCCATCCATTTGTCCCCTCTCCCCTGAGCCACGTGCTTCAGAGAGGGATGAAGCGCATCTGTCTCTGGCAGGTGCTGGGGACCCCGCTTGTTTCCCTTTTTCCTGGAGGCAGAGTACCCTCTCTGCAGTGGAAGGGGATGAAAACTTGTCCCAAGGGACAGCAGGAAGCACAGGAGCCAGATTTTCTCCTGCCCAATTTGTGGCCTCATAAACACGTATCTGCTGGATATGTGCTGCAGTGGGAGGTTGCCACAGTGGGTGCTTCCAGGCTGAGCAGCAGCGGGAGGCGTGTGTCAGGAGGGCATTTCCAGCCCTGTGTGAGTCCTGGGACTCATTTTCCAGCATCTCTGTGTGACTCTGCTGCAGCTTAGAGCCCCGCTATAAAACTAGATTGCTTTTGATCCATGCCTGGGTTCAGGCTTCTGACACCCAAGCACGTGAGGGTGATTCTGGTCTGTACCCTGGTTCTAATCTCTTGCCGACTTGTGCGCCAAGAGAAGTGCGTGAGCATGTGAGTCATGGGAGCATGTGAGAGTGAGAAAGGGGGTGCCTGATTTTCCAGCAGCCCCTCCCTTTCTGGCACCCCAGCCCTTGCCACGTGCCGCAGGGGTTTACTCTCCCTTTCTCCATGCAGGTCCGTCATTGTGGAAAACTCTGCCAGCAGCACCAATGCCACCGAAATCCTCAAGCCAGTGAAGAAACGAAAGAGGAAGGACTACCAGAGCCCTTCGGAGGAAGAATATGAATCTGAGCAAATGGTAGGAAGATGGCAGGGAGGGCCTGTGTGCCCACGTGCTAATGTCAGGGGTGGGCCATGGTCCACCCCCATGGGTGTGGGCAGTTCTCGTCAGTGCCTTTCAGTGCTATGCCAGCTGTATCGAAGGGGTAGCCTGTTGGCTGTTAGTGCCAAAAAGACATGAATGTGTGGAGTGTCAGGGCTTCTAGACACTTGGCTGGGTGTTTGCCACGCCAAGCACCTCAGGTTCATCAGCGCTTGACACGTCCTGGTTGGGCTGTAGGTGTCTAACGCTCTCAACTGCTCTCTTGAGTCTGGGCCACCAAAGGAAGTGTTGAAGTAAGAGAGTCTCTGTGTGATGTGTATCCTGGGGAAAGGAGAGTGGCTTTCACAGGGTGAGGAAGCTCTGCTTGCCAGCCCTGACTGTAGCAGATCCACTCCAGGTGTGGGTGTTACCAAAATCCCCCTTGGGCTCCCGTCCTCAGATCCTCTTGGCCACCCATTTCTGGGCCAAGCATCAGTCAAATCACGGATGTTGCAGAGGCACCACTGTGGCCCTTGGCACCAGTGCGAGGGTACGATACACAGCATGAACCTCTGTGTGGACCTCCAAGGTGATGGGTTTCTGTTTTGTCTGCTCTCACGTCTAGGAGGAAAAGCAGGAAGAGAGGAAAAGCTCTGTGGGAGACGCTGCCATCAGCAGTGCAGAGGCTGATGCCTGGAACGGGAGCCAGCATGGTATGGAGGGGACGGGCAGGCGGTGGGGTGGGCACTTTTGCCACAGCTGTGGGGTTGTGCTGTGGGGCTGGGTGAACATTTTGGTGCTCCAGCAGAGACAAACACCCAGTTCAATGTGCCGGTACATGTTCCTGAAGGCTTGTGAGCTCCTCTGCTTGCTTGATCCTGCTCTCTCTGTCTCTTTCCATTTCTCTCCTTTCCTCTCTTTCTCTCCATGGGACGGGTGCACCCTTACAGATACGGCTGTGTCTTCTTCAGGCATCGGGCCGTACTGTACAGTGCTCTCTGGTCCCTCCCCTTGGGAGCTGATTTTATTACTTCCTTGTGGATACCATGTTTGCTCCAAGAGGCACTATCCTGAGCAATAATGTGGCTCTAGGCCACATCTGGCATTGGCCCCCTCTTTGGATGGTCTTAAGAGGAACTTCCCTCATGCGATTGGGAGCTCCCAAGTTTGGGAGCTGCTCATGTAGGTCTGGTCCCACTGAAACCGGGTGATTTGGGGGTTGTCCTGTCTCTTGGGGATCTATTCCTGGACCATATCAGAGGAAATCTCAAATGCAGAGCTGTTGACACAGAGGAAAAGGAGACAAGCTGAGGGATGCAGTGTTTGCTTGTTTGGTTTATCCCCTGCAGTGTGATGGGGATGAAGGGAAAGGAAAACTTGGGAACATACTGAAAATAAACATGGGAAACCTTTTGTCTTTGTATAAAGACAACCTTTGTCTTTTGGGGGTTGGAGTAGATGATCTCCAAAGGTCCCTTCCAACCCCTATCATTCTGGGATTCTGTGAATAGTGAAAGGTCATACTTGAAATAATTTTAAAATTAAACTGTTCCAGCTTCATACTCCCTCCATCACTGGATGTAGGGACAGTAGCAGGGTCCAGATGTTGTTAACCCCTGAGTTACACTGAGTTAACCACGGTTACAAAGGGATCTCATACTTGCTGGCCAGGTCCTTTTCTCTACAGACTGAGCTCTGAGCATGTAACCTTCCCTGCTGCACACAAGTAAGCAGTGCTGAGCCTTGTTATTTCAGCATTTTATTTTCTCTTATTTTAGAAGTACATCAGCAAACAAAATATACAACTGGATGCTTCACTGCAGCAGAGCTGATGTATGCTCTATCTCCAGGTGTATTTGTCATTCTTTGGAAGTGCAAAGCTTGTGCTTATGGATTCCCCAAACAAGCTGCCACTTTTTTTCTATATCCTAAAGAAATAAAGGTATTTATCATCACTCTTAAGTGTTAGAGAAGCATCTAGGTTAGTAACCCTGCTCACTGAAGCTCAGCTTTAATTTATCCCACAAGTGATTTTTTTCCATCTCCACTTCCCCCAAGCCCATGGAGGAGAGAGTTGGTGTGGTTTTCCTCTGCATTTCTGGCCTGCACTGCCCAAGGCTGTCTGCTGTGGCTGACCTGTGGCTGTGAATTACTCAGTGCTGGACTAGGCACAGCACTCCTGGAGTCCCCCCAGGCACTACAAAGCAGGAAGAGAAAGTGGCTGGAGAGCAAGAGACTTGGGTTGTGTCTCGTGTGCCTTGGGTGAGGCCTTTGTGACCTTCCCAAAGGGGTCAAAGGCATGAAGGATCACCTCCCTGCCTATGAGGAGACGATGCTGTTGTCTTTCTGTGAATACCTAAGGGTAAATGCATCATCTCTAGGGCATCAGGGCGGCCCTGGCCTGTAAGGGGTGCTGGGGCGGTTGTCTGGGAGCAGAGGATGGCAGAGCTGGTGCCTCTGGAGCGGTGCTGGGGGGTGACCCCACTGCTGGTTTGACTGGCCAGGAGCCCCTTGCAGCTGGTAGTGATTCTCACGTGCCTGGATGGATCTTGCTGGCTGTCCCAAACCCATCAGTCCTGTGGCCTTTTCAGGTGTACTGGCTGGAGGAGGACTGGTTGCAAGAGGTGTCCTGATGCTTTGCACAGGATGGCTTGTCCCTCAGGCTCCTTGGGTGCCTCAGTAGGGTGTTGTACAGCAATAGAGGACATCTGAGTCACGGGGACCTGTGTAAGAGCTGCCCTCTTGGCTCTGTCCCTCCTGGGAAGGCCGGCCAGGTTTGCTGAAGAAGGGGCTGTGGTAGGATGGTGCTGAGCTTTGCAGGGATGCAGGACTGTGCGTGAGAGCAGGATGCGGCCCCAGCGGGACCCCCGCGCTCGCCTGCCCTCCGCACTGCCCCGGGGCAGGCAGGGATGGAGGCTGGAGCAGACCCTCAGCAGAGGCTCTTGTGTGTGCGTTTGTGCTGCGCTCAGGTGCCAGTGAGGAGAAGAAAGAAGGCTGGTCTTGGGCGTCCTACTTGGAGGAGCAGAAAGCTGTCGCTGCCCCTTTAGATCTCTTCCAGGATGTGAGTTGGGATTTTCCTGTCTTTTTCCCTCTTTCATCTTCTCTTTTCTTTCCCTTTTTTTTCCCACCCCTCCTCCTTCTCCTCTCTTCCTTGCTTCCCTATTTTGCGGGGCTCTGAGCGATAAGCAAGCTCCCATCTTTACCTGGAGATGACCAGTCAGCCTCCAGTTTTGATTTGCCCCGAGTCCCGCTCCCCAGCGGGGTGCTGTCCCCCATCCCAAGCACCCCACATTTGCTTCGGACACTCCTGTGGCTCTGGCAGGGTGCTGGAGCCTTTCCAGCCCTTCCTCAAAGCAGGTGTTGGGCTCTCCTGGGCTCACCTTGCTGCACTGCTCCCCTGCTCCCAGGCCTCTGGTTGCCAGAGTTCCAGAGGAGCCTGGCCCGTGCCCCACTCTCCTACTCTTCGCCCTGGGACACCCTGCCCTGCCAGTAGCAAGAGACACAAACCCACGAGGAGGTGGAAGAATGTGTTTTCCTATGGGAAAAGAATTAAAATTTGGACAACGTAACCTGTGGCCCACAATCTCCTGGTCCCAGCAGCTCCCATTGCCTGATGGTTGCTTTTTGGGATGGTTCTGGACCCAACTACCTGTGCTGTTTTTTACATTGTAGTTTAATTTTTGTTTCCAGTACCAAGTAGCTTCCCAGCACAAGAATGGCTTTAAAGTGGGGATGAAGCTGGAGGGGATCGATCCGCAGCACCCATCTATGTACTTTATCCTGACAGTGGCTGAGGTAAGGCACCTCCAGTCCCCATGTTCCTTGGTTCCTCCTCACTCCTGCGTGGTGGGAGGCTCTGTGGGAGGGGAGGTGCTGTCAGCTGGCCTGTGGAGGAGACGGGCTTTGGGCCCTCGCCTGTGTGTCACTGCATGAGATGACCTCAGTCAAGCAAACGGGGAGTTTTCTTCCAGTTCGTAGGGGCAGGAGGCTGCTGTGGAGCAGCCATCGTGCCCCGGCCTCGTTGGTCTCTCACCCTGACGCAGCAGAGCCATGGGGGGTGTCGCGGACAGAGTGATTAACTTCACTAGTTAGAGTGAAGCAGAGAAAGATTTATTAAGGTGAAACAGTGATTTAACAAAACCAGTAGTGTGATAAAACCAGTGGTAAATGCGATAGTGTTTTACAAGATTCGATGTCAGGGTACACTCTATTATTTACTGCCCAGAGGACAGGGTCAGACAAGCTGTCAGGGAGACCCTCCCGTTGAGTCAGGAGGTTCAGAAAGGACCCCCTGGCTTTCTAAACTCCTTCTCAGAGAGGAGTCTGGGGGCGGCTGGATCCAATCCTAGTCCCAGACTTGGTCAATGGTTTATGTCTAAAGGATTATATATGCACAATTAATCCTTTACATGACTTAGATAAAATTTCAAAGTTCAGCATGCTATTAGTCACTTACTGAGAATCTGTTGCGGCAAGGTTTCCCTCAACCTCGAGGAGTAGAACCTTAAGCGAGTGTCCTCACCAAAGGGGAGATCCTGGCGTGCAGCCCGCTGCCATACAGGAGAGCTCAAAGGGGCTCTTGGGCTGTCCACTATTTATACAGTAAGATAATTGACCTATAGTCATATTTTCATGGCAACAAAATTTCTAGGTCCCCACTCCAGACAGTATTTTGACCAAGTTGCCAGCCATCCCCCAGAGACCGGGTGCAAGTTATCACAGCTGCTGTTGTGATGGCCGTGGTGGCCAAGGCCGGGCAGGAGCCGAGAGGGAGGGGGGGGGCAAACCAGGGAGAGCACACCGCCACAGCATCTGAAGGGTGATATAATTAACATGTATCAATCTCTATAAAACCAACATCTATTCCTTTGTTTCTCTAATATGCATACAGGAAACACTAATTGAAGGCATAACTGTGGCTGCTATATAAGTGAAATTATTAAGTGTTCATTTAGCCCAGATTTAGATGGGATTGTGTTTTAAGACAGTTCCTTAAACATTGCATATCTTGCCTGTGAATTCAACAACCGTAAGTTACAGGAATACTTCACCTGAACTGCTGAATTATTAATTTCAGGTAGTTTATTAGAAGTGATGTTCCCATGGAGATAGGTTTTTGATATTCATTGCAAATTATACTGCTGTTATTTTACAAATTCAGTGAAAATAATCAGTATTAATTATATGGATTTTCTTTTCAAATTCCTTGATAAATGTGTTATGATGCTGACACTATTCAATTTACAGGTAAGTATTAGCTACCTTCTTCCAGACTGTTACAATGACTACTGCCAAGTTTTTAATTTGTTGTTTCATTTACTTTCTAAAAAAGCATAAGCAAAGCTAGTGTGGGAGTAAGTATTGAGGTTCAAAGAAGAAGAATGACCTCTCTACAGGACAGATGTCCAAACCTACTTCTGGTACATGTTAAGTTTGAGAGTTAAAATTTACAATTAGTTGATGCTATGTGGAAAACCAGCAAATGCTCCAAACAATTTTGGGCTTTGCTGAGGCCACAAACTCCACGTACTAAAAGAATTTAAAAGTCACCTCTGATAAAATGGAGTTAGGCCATCAGGTTTCAAGGGATGAAAATGGCAATACATAGAACATAAGTCAGTGACAGCTACTTTTGAGATATTAAAAGAAAGGCAATACTACACTGTTTTCCTTTATTTTACAGATTTTCGTTTAGTTTAGAGAGAGAAAATTCTTGGATACAGTAAGATAATTGACCTATAGTCATATTTTCATGGCAACAAAATTTCTAGGTCCCCACTCCAGACAGTATTTTGACTCTGTTGCCATCCATCCCCCAGAGACCGGGTGCAAGTTCTCACAGCTGCTGTTGTGATGGCCGCGGTGGCCAAGGCCGGGCAGGAGCCGGGGGACGGGGGGGGTGGGGAGGACACAACACCGCCACAGGGGGAGACTGTGGTGATGGCAACAGCTTCTTATCTTTGAGCTGATGCCCCTCAGACAGGTCTGGAGGGTGTGGAGGCATTCCATTGCTCGTGTGCCTTGGGTGAGGCCTTTGTGACCTTCCCAAAGGGGTCAAAGGCATGAAGGATCACCTCCCTGCCTATGAGGAGACGATGCTGTTGTCTTTCTGTGAATACCTAAGGGTAAATGCATCATCTCTAGGGCATCAGGGCGGCCCTGGCCTGTAAGGGGTGCTGGGGCGGTTGTCTGGGAGCAGAGGATGGCAGAGCTGGTGCCTCTGGAGCGGTGCTGGGAGGTGAGCCCACTGCTGGTTTGACTGGCCAGGAGCCCCTTGCAGCTGGTAGTGATTCCCAGATGCCTGGATGGATCTTGCTGGCTGTCCCAAACCCATCAGTGCTGTGGCCTTTTCAGGTGTACTGGCTGGAGGAGGACTGGTTGCAAGAGGTGTCCTGATGCTTTGCACAGGATGGCTTGTCCCTCAGGCTCCTTGGGTGCCTCAGTAGGGTGTTGTACAGCAATAGAGGACATCTGAGTCAGGGGACCTGTGTAAGAGCTGCCCTCTTGGCTCTGTCCCTCCTGGGAAAGCCGGCCAGGTTTGCTGAAGAAGGGGCTGTGGTAGGATGGTGCTGAGCTTTGCAGGGATGCAGGACTGTGCGTGAGAGCAGGATGCGGCCCCAGCGGGACCCCCGCGCTCGCCTGCCCTCCGCACTGCCCCGGGGCAGGCAGGGATGGAGGCTGGAGCAGACCCTCAGCAGCGGCTCTTGTGTGTGCGTTTGTGCTGCGCTCAGGTGCCAGTGAGGAGAAGAAAGAAGGCTGGTCTTGGGCGTCCTACTTGGAGGAGCAGAAAGCTGTCGCTGCCCCTTTAGATCTCTTCCAGGATGTGAGTTGGGATTTTCCTGTCTTTTTCCCTCTTTCATCTTCTCTTTTCTTTCCCTTTTTTTTTCCCACCCCTCCTCCTTCTCCTCTCTTCCTTGCTTCCCTATTTTGCGGGGCTCTGAGCGGTAAGCAAGCTCCCATCTTTACCTGGAGATGACCAGTCAGCCTCCAGTTTTGATTTGCCCCGAGTCCCGCTCCCCAGCGGGGTGCTGTCCCCCATCCCAAGCACCCCACATTTGCTTCGGACACTCCTGTGGCTCTGGCAGGGTGCTGGAGCCTTTCCAGCCCTTCCTCAAAGCAGGTGTTGGGCTCTCCTGGGCTCACCTTGCTGCACTGCTCCCCTGCTCCCAGGCCTCTGGTTGCCAGAGTTCCAGAGGAGCCTGGCCCGTGCCCCACTCTCCTACTCTTCGCCCTGGGACACCCTGCCCTGCCAGTAGCAAGAGACACAAACCCACGAGGAGGTGGAAGAATGTGTTTTCCTATGGGAAAAGAATTAAAATTTGGACAACATAACCTGTGGCCCACAATCTCCTGGTCCCAGCAGCTCCCATTGCCTGATGGTTGCTTTTTGGGATGGTTCTGGACCCAACTACCTGTGCTGTTTTTTACATTGTAGTTTAATTTTTGTTTCCAGTACCAAGTAGCTTCCCAGCACAAGAATGGCTTTAAAGTGGGGATGAAGCTGGAGGGGATCGATCCGCAGCACCCATCTATGTACTTTATC